AAAAAGTTTTGAGTTAAGTTATTTTAGGACTTTTGCACAAAAAGAAGAGTGGAAAAAGACAATAGAGTGGGAGAGATCAGAAGATGAGTGAAAAAGCCATTTATATTATGAGTGCAAACACGAGAGTTGAATGTTATTCTTCTTTCTTTGTAGTGCATCTCCAGGTATTTGTAAGTGCATATTTGGTAAGGTCCTTATACACATTTCATCTTTTTCTTTATTTCTAACCATGTGTCAAGCTTCAGGTTAAGAAGAAGTTCAAAATTTATATAATCGAGCGCTTCTTCAAGAAATGATGAGAATGATGATACTAGAACTGGAATCCCTTCATGAAATGCTAGATATAATTGAAGATTCAACTGGTTAAAATCTGAGAAGATAATCAAGGAAAGAAGAACAAGAAGAATTTGATGATAAAGCAACTGAGGTGATCTCTCTAGGATTAAGGAGGAATGTTCAAAGAGGCAATGAAGGACGTATGTTATTTGATGATAATTTGAATAATATTCATGTTTTCATTCCATCGTTTCAAGGAAAGAATGATCCTGAAGCATATTTGGCATGGGATGCCAAAATTGAACGTGATTTTGAATGCCATAACTACTCAGAACAGAAAAAGGTCAATTTGGAAGCCATGAAGTTTGTTGATTATGCTTTGGTTTAGTGGGATCAACTGACTTCAACAAGAAGAAGAAACAGAGAAAGACCAATCAATACTTGGCAACAAATGAACAGTGTCATGAGGAGAAGATTAATACCTGTTCACTACCACCGAGACTTGTTTTAGAAATTGTAGAATCTCAAACAAGGCAACAAGAGTGTGGAAAGCTAGTTCAAGGAAATGGAGATAGCCATGATCCATGCTAATGTTGAAGAGGATCGAGAGAAAAACCATGGAAAGGTTTTTGGCAGGTTTAAACACTGAAATTTCTAACATTATTGAGTTGCAACATTATGTAGAATTGAATGAGATGGTCCACCTAGACATTAAGATAGAAAGCCAACTCAAAATAAGAAGTTCACTATGAGGCAACACTTCTACTCCAAATTGTTGGAACCAAGGTAGGAATGCATACAAGAAGCAAACACCTTTGTAAATTAATGAGAATGAAGACACTCCAAAGTCAAAGCAAACCGTCATGAAAGGAAGAGGCAAGGAAAATCAAACATCAAACGCATATATATCCTAAGATATTAAATGTTTTAAATATCTAGGGAGAGGACATGTTGTAAACCAGTGCCCAACCGCAACACTATGTTACTACTTGACAATGGAAATGTTACATCCAACCTTAAAGAAGACAACAGTGAAGACAACATTGACGAGGAAAAGGAAGAAGAATCTGAAGATACTCAAGGAGGAGAACTTTTAGTAATCAAGAGGCTTTTGAACAATTAGTTAGTAAATGATGAACAACAACGAGAGAACATCTTTTACACCAAAAGCAAAGTGGAAGGAAAGATATGTCTAATGATCATTGATAGTGAAGTTGTACTAATGTTGGAAGTTCAGAAATTAAGTTTGAAGACTCAAAAACATTCAAATCCTTACAATTTACAATGGTTTAATGATTAAAATGAACTCAATGTTACTCGACAAGTGCTTGCCCCATTCGCAATAGGCAAGTACAAGGATGATATTCTATATGATGTGGTACCAATGCATGCTAACCACATATTATTTTCAAGACCATGGCAATACGACGAAAGAACTATGCACAAATAATTTACTAATTAGTATATATTGAAGAACAAGGGAAAGGAAATCATCTTGAAGCCTATGTAACCAAAGCAAGTTCTTAAAGATCAAAAGAAAATGAATGAATCATTAAAGAAGGGCCCAATAACATCCAAAATCGAGGAGAGTATTGAGAAGACCAACTTATTCTCATGTAAGTTGATTGAACCAGAAATATGTTCTTTCACCAAGGAGTATGATGATTCAATTCAAGAAGGAATCACATTGTTGAAGCATCATGACTTTCCAAGAAAGGAAGCACCTTATTTTATGAAGAGATGTGATTCTACCATTAAAGGACATGTTGTTTCAGGGGAGAGACAACAAGAGATGTGTCTTATCATCAAAAGACATAATTATATCAAAAGAACACTTTCAAGAGTTTGCATCTATCTATGCAAACAAGATTATTTACCAAAGGATTTATGTGCTCATCTACTTGGAGAAACTCAAGAGATATGTCACTTGATCTTAAAGAACACCACAGTTCATAAAAGGTAAGCACCTCTCATTTTTTAGGTTTTTAAAGCATATCTAATAAAGAAACACTTGGAAGAGAGCTCTTTGTATAAGGTACCTTTTGGTAACATTGATTCCAAAGAAAGGCCTTTAAATTAGATAATCTTCTCATATTATCCTTTAGAGGATATCATGCATGAAGGGAAAAGAGAAAAAAATTTTCTATGTTGTAAAGGTGGCATATTTAACCCTTCCTATGAAGAACAAGTTCAAGACATCCAATGATCTCGATTTGAGGATAAATCACATTAAATAAGGCGAGGATGATGTGATCATACTTCTGCACCTTCTACTTTTCATCTTTTTTTTCTTCAAGTGTGGAACTCATCAAAGACTAGGGAGTTTTCACTATCTTCTTCTTACATTTCTTTAAGTATTTTCATCCACATAACATGAACTCATACTATGCTTTGCATACATGTCTTAACATGTTAAACACATTGTTAGAAAACTTCCATATGAGATTCATGCCTAATATAATTCATCTTAGTACATACCTAGTTGAATTCATAACTCTTATACTCTATATATTGATATATAGAGACTAGCATACTCTAATTAGTATTTAACATACATTTCATAACTTTACTTAGTCTATTTTATGAGTATGCATCATATCGTAACCCATGCCATTCATACACATTGTATCCTAGCTCATCTTATGTATTTGAAGTAATTACTAGCTCATACGTAGATAATCATATGCATAACATTCATTTACATATGTTTCAAAGCTCATCCTTATGTTTTCATTACCTTTGTAGGTGCTACGGACATTTGGGAACCTTTTGCCAGCTCATTGGAATCTCACTCATCTTTTGACAACTCACACCAGCTCAATATGAACTTAAGGTAGCTCATTACAACCCATATTAGCTCAGTTTAGCTCATGGAACTAAGAAGGTAGCTGAAACTAGATGGAAAGTAACTAAACAGTAGCTTGATGGTAGCTGAGGACTTAATACAACTGAAGTTAGCTAGAGTGACACTAGGTACCTAGCTAAGATACTCACTCACCTAGCTAGCTCGCTAAGGTAATAGCTTGCTTCACTAGTCACCTATGTTATCTTAAAGGAACCACACGCATCATGTGCAATTCATGTGGTATAGGATGCATCATAACAAGGCATGAAAGAGCACATTCAATCAAGGACATGTGTTTTCATTAAAAGGACATGTGACTTCATTTTGAATTCAAACAAGGCATCTTATAACTACTCATTTGGACGATAACTATGAAGAGGTTTCTCACCATTTAACCAAACACTCTCCACCACTCATTTGGGCACCAAAGATGAAGAGCAACACACCAATTTGGCCAAGGCTCTCTCTACCAATTATTTGAATAATTCAAGAGCCAAAACACCACTACCATTCGACCAAAAGAAGGACAATCCTAACTGAACCAATTCCATGATTTTTAATTATTTTAATATTGTAATTTTTCATTTCAAGCAATATAATCATTTAAGAAAGTGCTTAGCCAAACCAATACATGTCTATTCGGCATAGTGTCTTCATTTCCTATAAATTGCCATTGCCTTGGCATTGTAAGGTATATCTCTTCATTATCAAATATACTTGTGAGGTTTCCTCTTTCTTAAGTTTTGTTGAACTTTTATCGACTTATCAATTCCTTTGGTTTTTGTGGCGTCAACCCTATTATTTTATTGATACCACCCCTTTTTCAAGATATCAAAGTGGTCAAAGTCCTACATTTCCACCCCTTGTTCAATTTATAAGGATTGGTGTTAGGCTTTAATATAGCCTAGTTTATTCATTAAATTGTCCAAGATACCTTTAAATTCTTCCATGTTCATTCTTAAGCCCATCACCACGCCCCAAACACTTCCACAACCACTCTTAATTACATTTAACACAAATAACCCACCATTTCACCTTAACATCAACTATCATGCCCTCTATTTGAGCCCATCTTCTTGCAGGTACTTACTCTTTCACTATACCCACAATCAGAAGTAGGAGTGCCTTGTATCAATGAAATTCTTTCGAACGCACATAATGGGCAATTTATGATGAATCCAGGTAGTATGAAGATATATCAAGATTTTTTAGAGTTGTATTAGTGGTTGGGATTGAAGCATGCAGTTGTTGAGTTTGTGGGTCTTTGTTTGGTTTTCCAACTTGTAAAAGCCAATCATCAGTATCCTTCAGGTTTGCTTTAGTAGATTAGTATTTTAGAGTGGAAGTGAGAGTGTATTACGATGTATTTTTTTGATGGGTTTACCGTTGATACCAATAAAATAAGAATCTATTTGGGTGATTATTGATCATTTTTCTAAGAGTTTGCATTTTCTACGGGTGCATATGACATTTTCATTGCAAAATTAGAAGAGTTGTATATAGAAATGATAGTACGGTTGCATGGTGTTTCTTTGTTGATTATTTCAAATCAGCATATGTGTTTCACATCAAGGTTTTGGAAGAGTTTGCATGAGGCTTTGGGTTCGAGGCTTAATCTAAGTACAACTTATCTCCCGCAGGCAGACGGTTAGTTAGAACGTGTGATTCAAGTTTTGTAAGATATGCTTCGGGCTTTTTATTGAATTTTTTTTCTTGGGAGTGTTATTTTCTATTGATAGAGTTTACTTATATTAATAGTTATTAGGTGAGTATTCATATGTCACTTTTTAAGGCATTTTATGGGCGTAAGTGTTTTACACCTTTGTGTTGCTCTGACTTGAATGAGAGGCATTTTGTGGGTCTAGATCTAGTTTAGGAAATGGAAGATAAGGTTAAGTTGATTATGGACCATTTAAAGGTTACTTTTGATCGGAAAAAATCTTATGATGATCTGAAATATCGGGCGATTGAATATGTTGTAGGTGATTTTATGTTCTTGAAGGTTTCATCTTGGAAGAAGGTGTTGAATTATGGGCATATGGGTAAGCTTAGTTCGAGGTTTATAAGGCCGTATGAGGTGTTGGAACACATTGGTCCTGTTGCATATCGTCTTAGGTTGCCATATAAGCTCGAGTGTATTCACGCTGTGTTCCACGTGTGGATGTTGCGTAAGTATCGGTCGGATGCTTTTCATGTCATTATGATGAGCGATGTTGAGGTTCATAACAACCTTTCATATGAGGAAGAACCGATTAATATTTTATCTAGTGATTTGAGTGTGCTTCGAAACAAGTCCATTCTTCTAGTGAAAGTGTTGTGGCATAACCACAATACATAAGGGGCAACGTGGGAAATGGAAGAGTTGATGAGAGCTCAGTTTCCATAGTTGTTCGATTAAGGTAATTTTTTGGAAAAAATTCTTGTTAGGGGAGAGAGTTGTAATGTCCCAAAGTCCGGGTTGATAGTTTTGGGGCGATATTCGGGTTGATTTCCGTATTTTTGGTAAAAATATTATTATTGGAATTTTTTGTTTATAAATATTTTTCTAAAATGATTTAAATAGTTTTTAATTATTGAATTGAAATTTGATATTTTATAATTTATTTTACAAAGTGACTAAATTGAATGAATTGGAAATTGCGATTTTAGTAACTAATTTGTAGAGTGATCACAAATCAAAATCTATTAAGCTAGTTTTATCAAGTCTTGTGCTTAGTTTTTTCTCCAAGTTTAACCATATTTTTAATCTCCTTTTGGCTAATTTTGCATCTAAATTCATTCTCTTGCTCCTTTCTCATTTTCATTCTTAATTCTCGTTAACCATTTCTTTCATTTTCTCCCAAAATTCTCTCAAGCTATCTCACGTCTGAAACTATTCTTCTTCATTTTATATTCCTTTGTTATTGATTCTTGTTCCTTTAATGTTGATTTTCTCTCTTCAATCAAGATTGTTTCTTCTCTTTTACTATTTGCCTTCTTTCCTTGACCTCTTTGGTGTTTCCATTGTTGATCTTCATCTTCTTTTCCAGCAAATTAATTCTATTTTCCTTAGTTCCTTTTGTGCTTCAATGATTAATGATCTAATGTGATTGGAGATTTTTTTAACATTTCTTTTAAAGAGAAGTTTGTGAATTAAACTTGATTTTCGGAGGTATTTAATGTTCTATTTTTATTGATCACTTTTCAAGGTTTTTATTATGTTTATTAATATTTTTTATGATATTGTTATCATACTAAATCAGTTTTGCAATCTCAATTGATTTGGATATCGATTTCTTTAAAACAAGCTTGATTTTGGTGTTTCTCAGAAATCTAGGAATTCAGATTGATTGAGGTTAATTTTGAGGTTTTAGCTGAGTTTAGCTGTTGATATTAGTTTTTCTTGATCAGCTCTTGTTGAGAAGGAGTAGTGTCGATGGGATTGAAGGATCAGAGAGTCGTTTTGGTAATGTTTTTGGTAATTTTGATCTTTTCACTCTATTTAGAAACATAAAATTCTGCTCTATTTTGGATGTGTTCTTGATGTGTTATTTTTCCTTCCAAGGTTTTTGATGCATTGATTATTGAGGTAAATTGGTGCATCGTCTTTTGGTGAGTATTAGCTAAGTGTTTGGAAGCTATTTTCGATTAGTGCACATCAAAGGTGATTAACTTTCACTCTTTGTGAATGAACATGTTCAAGGTTAAAATAAGGTGTAGTTTAGGATTTTCTCTTAGCTTGAACTCTGGTATAAATGAATCTTTATTAATGCACATGATATACATGAAATAATGATATGAAATGTGGATATGTGTTGAGAATTGTATATGTGTTGCAATTAGTGCGTAGTGGTTTTAAAGTGAATTTGAAAGTGTATATAAGTGAAAGTGTGCATGGATGAGTGAGCATCTCTCTGTCCATATAAGGTTGATCATGGAAACCATATTTGATAAGTGTTTTAAAGTGTATTTTGAAAGTGTATATGTGTATACTATGCATTATTTGATAACCACTCTTGACAAACTTGGATTAATTGGATATTTGTTCTTAATGAGACCTTTGGATATGAAATGTATTCCTAGGAAAGAATACTCTTTGGTCTTCTCTATGTGTGTGATGTAATACCCCAAATATCAGGTCAGTGACTATATTGAAAGAATTTAAAAATTTGGAGGATTAAATTGAATAAATGGTAAAGTATAAGAAAATGATTTAGAAATTGTGTTTAAGACCAATTAGTAAGAATGAGAGAATGAAAGGGTATTTTCGTTCTTTAGAGGGAAATGGATTTAAAATCCATTTTAATTAGGGTATTTAAGAAAAAGGGAAAAAAGGGAAAGTGAAAAAACACAAGCTATTTCTCTTCTTCTCCGCCCTGAAAGTGCTCTCCTCCATAGCCAAAGGTAAGGCTTCATCTAGCTAGCTTTTCCTTTTGTTTTTTTGTTTGCTCTTGAAACCTTGAGTGTTATAGAGGCTTAAGGAAAGGTTAAATATAATTAAAACTAAGAGATGAATGATTTATTTGAGATTAAAGAAAGTGGGTTTTCAAATGATATGTTGAAATATGAGTTTTTGTTGAGATTTACTAGTATATTTGACTTGTAAAAGAAGTAAATAAGAGATTAGAAACATTGGATGTGATTAAAATCATGTTAGAAAAAGTAGTATGATTCTTGGTTTGAGATGTTCTTTAGAGAATTTGGATGTTATAAGAAGCTAAATAGAGAAAAGTTAGTTGGATTAAGTGATGTTAAGTTTAAGGGTATTGTTAGAGGTAAAAGTAAGAGAATTAAATGACAATTTGGTGAAAATCGAGCTGAAAAATGGAAAATATGGGTAGGGGTATCTGTACTGGAAGAACAATGCCGATACTATAGGCTTAAATTTGAAGAATTACGATGAACAATATCGATACTGATGCAATTAGTATTGATACTGATAAGGTATCGATACTAAGAGAAAGGTATCAATACCATGAATTTTCAGAATATAGAAATGGTATCGATACTAAAAGGGAGTATCGATACCATAGTATAGAAGTATCGATACAATGGTAGGGGTGTTGATACTATTGAGCCTGAAATTGTAAGATAGGCTGAAATTGTAATAGGAATATAAAATAATAGTACTTTTTAGTATTATTAAAGTATAAATGATAGAGAGTATACTAATATTGGTACGGTATGTGTGCTTAATGGATTCTTGTGTAGATCATAACCAAGCTCTAGAGTCAAGGAAGAAAAAGGGCAAGGATAAAGTTGTCGCTTAGTTGGACGTCATTACAACATACTAGGGAGGTATATCAGGTGAGTGCATCTATGGTAACTATATGGGATGAGGGAAACTCGCAATGAGTCAATCTCAAAGGTTTTGATTTAATGTATGTTTTACAATAATTAATATATGTTTATAATGTGTATGGAAATGATATTATGAATAAGTTTTAGAGTAGGAACTACTATAAAATGAAAGTTAAATTCCTAACGGAGCATTTTTTGTTGAAAGGTGCTACTAATGCAAGATAGATGACAAATGGTGTATTTTTGGCGGAAAGGTGCCACTAATGCAAGTTAAATGCCTAACGGTGCATTTTTGCTAGTAAGACACCACTATTGCAAGTTAGATGACAAATAGTGCAGTTTTGGCAGAAAGGTGCAACTAATGCAAGTTAAATGCATAATAGTGCATTATTGGCATGAAAGGATGTCATAAATGAAAATGCATAACGTTGCATAATCGGCATGAAATGATGCCATAAATTAAAATACATAACAATGTATTAACGTCATAAAAGGTGCCACTCATGGTATTTATAAAAGATAAATGACCTTTTGACACTTTGGTGCAATACATGTACATTACTTTCTCATTTAACATACATAGGGCAAATAAAGAATAATTGGGAAAAATTTACAGAAAAATAGGTATGCTTGGCATACTAAGAATAATTTCGATGATTGTATGAAAGAAATTTGGTTAAACTGAGAAGGATTTATCTGATCCTTATGGAGTATACGATTTAGTTCGTAATTAAATAGCCGTGATATACTTATGTATAAATTGCAATTTATTTATAATATTATGTCTCACTAAGTAAATACTTAACGTGTGTTGATTTCACGCGTAGGTAAAAGAAAAAATAACTGGGTAAGGGGTGAAGTAGAACCTATCATGAATCTAAGGTTGACACTCATCAGTAACAGTAGGACAATCATGTTTATTTTTAAAATTAGCTGGCATGTAATCGACTTTAAGAAAAATGCTATGGAATGTATTGAAAGTGATAATTTTTTGTAATATGTTTCAACGAATGTTTTATATTTGTAATAAAATATTTTGTTTTTAATTTCGAAACAAAATTTTATGGGTTTTGCAAATGAGTGAATGTTTTGAAAAGTCATGTAACACCTATGACATGTGTACGGAAACGTATACGAGACATGTACTAAATAGTAGATAAAGATTCAAAAACTATGTTCCCGGTGAATATGATGGAATTATCCATTGATAAATTAAGATCATATTGGGTATAAGTTGTTTGTCTCCAGAAATGATTATTTCAGAAAGATGCAGAGGATATGGAAATTATAGTTTTGGAGAAAAAGAAAAATCATTGCTCAAGTTGATATCGACAATGATTGTGAAGAAAATGATGTCAGAAAGATATATAGCTTTTCTGGCTAATGCGATAGATACTCAAATAATTAAGTAGAATTGTATGATATTTCCACAACTAGGGAATTTATAGATGTCTTTTCAGATGAATTAACTAGGTTACCTCCATATCGAGAGTTGGAATGAAAGGTTGATGGTTATCAAGGTATTGAGCATGTTTCTATGATTTCGTATTGAATGACTTAAGTGAGTTAAGAGAATTAGAGGATCAATTACAAGAGTTGATTGATCAAGGTTTCATCAGACCGAGTGTATCATCTTGGGGAGTATTTGTGTTATTAGCGAAAAGAAAGATGAATCTATGTGGTTATGCATATATTATTGACAGTTAAGTAAGGTAAAAATAAAGAATAAGTATCCTCTTTCGAGGGTTGGTGATCTATTTGATCAATAGAAAGACATGTCAATATTCTTTAAGATATACCTTAGATTAGGATACCACCAATTAAAGATTTGACGCCATTATATGTATGGTGAGCGGTGCTATAGTTGTGCTAATTACAAAAGCCTAAAGTACTTGTGGACTTAAAAAGAGTTGAACCTGAGATAGAAAAGATGGACTTAACTTTTAACGAATTTTGATGTGATCATTGATTATCTTTCAAGAAAGGCCAATGTTATTATAGAGGTACTTGGTCTGAAACCTTTTTGACAATTTTATGAGTTTTGGATGTGCGATTAGT